TTGCTGCTACTAGATGGTTGAAGGTAATCGTCAGGATGTCTCGTCTGACTTGGGTATCGTGCTTGTCGTCATCAAGGTGTATCTGTGGGGACATGAGTTCATTTATAGTCCCAAATATGCCTTGCTGACGAGTGCGAACGAGCACGAAACCTAAGTCAGACGAGACTTCCTACTGATTGCCTCCAGCCATCTAATAACAGCAAGTATACTGACAAGTTCCAAATAGGACTGCCAAACACCACCAGCCGAGTAATAAACAATTCTATTTGTTAACCTATAACTGTATGAGAGTGGTTACCACAAACTGCATACATGTTTATATACATATAGTTTTTTTTTCTCGATAACTTCTCATTCTTTCACATTTCCTCTCATTGATTCTTTTTCTCTAAGTGAATATGAACTATTTTCTGGATCAATATTTTGTCACTTCAACTATTTCAACATATTTGCTTAGTTTTTATTGTTCAAATATCAATAGTTATATATTTACCCGTGTGTGTGTGTGTGTTTTTTGTCGTTTGTGTTTAATACCCATATAAGAGCGAAGGCCAATTTAGTAGATTAAACTAAAAACACCTCATAATGCATTCGCTTTTATAATGATGGAAATAATATATGCCAACTTTGATCATGTGGTGGTTGTAATATCCAACACGTGGAAAGAGTAGGTGGAGGGTGAAGGTAGTATCTTATTTTCTCAATAAGAATTTTGCTGTGGTTGCCTTTTCTGAGTTGGGTTATTTAATTATGAGAAGCTTTCATTATCCTCCTTGAAAACATCTTAAACACAAACTTTTGGTTGTAGGTCTAAAGTCCTAGGCTCAATAATCATGCGTAGACTAAGTGGTGCTCAGGAGGCACAAACACAAGAGAGCTAGGCAGGCTTTAGACCAGAAAGAGGGTGTATTGATCATATCTTCACCCTCCGACAGATTCTAGAACATAGGGATTCCTACTGGCGTTCAAAAATCATTATAGTCCTTGACCTAAAGGCGGGGTTCGATTCTGTCTATCGAGAGGTTCTCTGGAGATGCTTGGCTGTAAAGGGAATTCCGAGAAAATACATTGCACTGATTAAGGCACTCTACTCGTACTCATACAGCCAGCCAGGTGAGGGCTTACGGCGAGTTGTCATCTGAACTGATGACGACTAGCGGTGTCCGTCAAGGATGCCCATTATCCCCTTTTCTATTCAACTTCATCATATATGTACTAATAGACGTAACCCTAACTCACTTCAGCTACTCAGGGATTGACTTGCTACCAGGGAATAATCTCGTTGACTTAGAATATGCAGACGATATAGTCCTTCCTCCTAGGTGAAGACGCTGACAAAATGCAGGGTTTTCTGAACACCTTGATCAGTGAGCAATCTACGAGTGTTTGGCATGCAATTCGTTCCCGCCAAATGCAAGATGATGTTACAGGACTGGACTACACCGACTCCTAGATTAGGAATAGGAAGTGAAGTGTTAGAGCACGTTGACCGCTTCACTTACTTGAGAAGTACCATCAGCCAACGCCAATGGGTTGATCTCTGATGAAATCTTTGCACGGATACAGAGGGCTAGTTTCGCATATGCCAGTTTACGCCGTCTCTGGCGTAGACGTGATATCCGACCGTTGACCAAAGGGCGTGTGTATTGCTCAGCCCTCCGCTCCGTCCTCCTTTATGGCTAGCTGTGAGACCTGGCCATTGAGAGTGGAAGACACGAAAAGCCTGGCTAGCTGTCTTCGATCATAGGTGCCTGCACTACACAATTCGACAAAAACTATGCAACAACTAGTCTACAGTAATGAACTTACACAAAAGCACAGTGTTCAAGCTGAGTCTTTATAACATGTTTTCAGTTTAATGAGAGCTTCACAACTAGATAAAGCAGCTGAGAGAATGCAACCACATCAAAATCATCCACCTGAGCTACAAATCCTCTCTATTATTTCGTAACCAAGGCTTATTTTGAAGAAGCAACTATCACCTCCTTTGACATAGACTATAAGTATTGTAGTCATCCATGACTGTTCTTTTGAGCAACGGATAAGATAGACTTCGACTACCGAGCTTGGGGTCGTCGATGCGCTAGAAACCAATGACTGAAGATTGTTGTTGACATGGCTGAAAATTGTTTTCAATGGGTTACTTATTGTATTCCCAGATTGCAGATATACACCTTACTGACTAGTGAGTGCCGCTGAACACAGAACTTAAGTTCAAGGTTTCTTGTCGATCACCTCTAATCATCTGATAACAACAATTCAGTGTGTACAGTGACGCGGTAAGTCACGTAGCATGGTAACCATATTACAAACCTGACTGATAGAATTCAATATACACGAACACAAAGGACTAGGCACATGCTATTATTCACTACCTATTGTCGAATCAAAGTATTGTATTTACTTGTTTCGACCTTCCAGACTCATTAAATTCTAATTATTCTACATCTGAATTATTCCTTCTCCCGAACATTTTAATTTCATTTCCTCTCTATATACCCCCTAACTTTATGTGTGGTTTTATAAAGTCTGTGGCAACTTGAACTGTTTCACTCTTGTGCAAAGTTCTAAATTGAAAATGTAGTCACTTCATTCAATTTTCCTCACCTTGGTTAGTTTCATGATATTCTATAAAAAATAGCCTATCAAATTTCCCCTTCTCTACTCGGTAACTTTAAACTGTAAACTGTATTGCTGGTACTGGATTAAGGCATGTTGCGTAGTATGAAGTAAATGGTTATAATAATATATGTATAAAACTTGGGCACTGTGGCAGTAAGTAATTCCATATTAGTTTGTTTATTAGATGTATCACACAGTGAAACAGTATTACTGTTTGCTGGATGACAAGGTTTCGAACAAAATTTATTCTTCATAATCATATCAATTGTAATCACACGACTTTGAAACTTGAGTTATATAGTTTTCTTTGTCTTCTCCTATTTGTCGGAGGGGTAGTAGAATTTTATGGATATCTGGGTGGACAGGTGTTGAATCATGCCTATTACAAGTGTTGGTTTTCAGTTGATTCGATAAACAAAGCTTCTGTTATCAATCTCTCCCTATAATCTGTGATATTCGATTTTAAAACTGTCATCTTATCCCACCCTATTGTATGGTTGTGTTTAATTGCATGTAGTGCTATGGCTGAACTATTCTCTAGATTTCTTATCTTATTTGGGCAAACTAATCTAGATTTGGCTAGGTTTTTATGTTCGGCTAGTCTGACTGACTACCACTGTTCTACTACTTTGACCTATGTATTTGACCTGACAATCATCGCAGACAGGGTATTAGATAAACTAAATTGTTTTGTTTAATTGGCTCCACAGGATTGTTCCTTTAACCGACAAAGCTTGTTTCTAATTGAGTTTGTGGTGGTTTGAATGGCAGCCACTTTTATTCCTGCCTTGTTAAGAATTCTGCGTATGGTGGTTTCCGAGGTTCCTTCCTTGTATGGAATTACTACTGATGATTTAGATTCCTTATTGTTGGTGTCGTCATTAATATTATTATTATTAATATTATCATCACTATTATTATTATTATTATCACTGCAATGGATGTCAGGTCAAATACATAAGTCAAAGTAGTAGAACAGGGGCAGTCAGTCAGACTAGCCGAACATAAAAACCTAGCCAAATCTAGATTAGTTTGCCCAAATAAGATAAGAAATCTAGAGAATAGTTCAGCCATAGCACTACATGCAATTAAACACAACCATACAATAGGGTGGGATAAGATGACAGTTTTAAAATCGAATATCACAGATTATAGGGAGAGATTGATAACAGAAGCTTTGTTTATCGAATCAACTGAAAACCAACACTTGTGAAAAGGCATGATTCAACACCTGTCCACCCAGATATCCATAAAATTCTACTACCCCTCCGACAAATAGGAGAAGACAAAGAAAACTATATAACTCAAGTTTCAAAGTCGTGTGGTTACAATTGATATGATTATGAAGAATAAATTTTGTTCGAAACCTTGTCATCCAGCAAACAGTAATACTGTTTCACTGTGTGATACATCTAATAAACAAACTAATATAGAATTAAATGGTTATACAACTCATATTATGTACTATTATCCTTTTTAACTCTCGAGGGGTACATAGATGTTTAGCAGCACATCTCCATTTCATCCTGCATTCCACAGTCGTCTCTAGGTCGCACCACGATTGCTCGCAAGCTCTCATGTCCTCCTGCATGTCACCGTCAAACTGACGCCCAACTTGTCCTTCTCCATTTGGGCCTCACCACTGAACGGTCTGGCTGGTGATATTACCCAACGGTCTCCTCAGCGTTTATCGGATCCATCTCCATTTCCTTCGGCTAATATATGTTGGGCGATAGCTTCTTGTTCGGTTCGTCGTCAGAGTTCCTTGCTGCTAATTCTTTCTGGCTGACCATCTGATCCTTAGTGTAAATCAAAGTGGACAGCTGTTGATAGAAATCTGCAGTAGCCTGTCGGAAATGCTTATGGTAACACGCGTAGCTAATCGCTAAACCGTAAAAAGGAGAACCGACCTGACAGGGTAGAACTCAGCATTTAGCTTTTTAGCCGTGTCGTTTTTTTTCAATCCCTATTTGAAAGCATTACTAATCGACAACAATAGGAAAGAAATATCCAAGAGAATTATGCCTTCTACCACCAACACCTTAGAAGATTTCGTTGACACGAAACAATCTAGTTATTAGAAGAAGAAGAAGAAGAGAAAAAAGCCTTCAATGTGAAGCCAATCGATTTCCCATTCAATTTTTTTCTTGCTTTCATTTTTTTACTATTAGTCAGGTGAATAACCCAAACGAACCTACTATATTATTGTTGTTCCTATTATTACTAGTGAAAAGAGAAGACAAACGAAAGCAGATAGGAAGGGGATCATGTGACGTAATTTTTCTTATGATACAGTTTGCAGAAATATATTTATATTATATATTTTTTCTTTCCATCCTTCGATCTGTCTTCTTTTTTTTCCTTTGCATAATTTTCAGGTGATATTATTAGCGCAAATTCTTTGGCTAGTGAAATTCGCCTTTGTCATATTCATTACAATTGAATTATCTGTATGCACAAGATGGAGCTACTTAACCAATAGTAGTATTTATGTTGAAAATTGGACTGATGTCTTCCAACCACCAAATCAATGCTGGGCTACCTTACCATTTTCTGCATCCTTATTAGTTGTTGGCGCTGTGATAACAATGCTAGTACAAATCACTCTTGTTGGCATCAAATTAAGTCGATTCTGGGAGATTCGTCGTTTTTGTACAAATATCTTAGATATGCCAACCAATGATTCTGGTCTATCAGATTTAACCTGGTCTGAAGTACAACAACGGCTGTTACAATCACAAAGAGATTTCCAATTTTGTGTATACAAAGTTAATTTAGATGAATTAGATATATATAATCGGATATTACGACATAAAAATTATTTAATAGCAATGATTAATCAAGATATTCTACCTATCCGTTATCGTATATCATCTAGTTTACTACCTCAGATTGTTTATCTTCCTGATGGATATTTATTCAATTTAAAATTAATCTTATTCTGGACACCATGGTCACCATTTCATAATTATTGGCAATTAAGAGCTGATTATAAATGGGTTACAAAACGTCATGAATTAGCTGTGGAATTAGCTAGTCGTGTACGTATTCTTGGCATCATTAATCTTGTTATGGCTCCGATTATCTTTATTGCCCAATTAATAGCATTTATATGCGCCAATGCAGAACGCTTTCGATATCAACCGTCAACATTGTTTGGCCGACGTTGGTCAAATTATGCCCGCCTGTATCTACGACATTTCAATGAATTACAACATGAATTTGGTACACGTTTAAAGCAAGCGTATACCCCAGCTTCAAGATATTTTGATAGTTTTGTATCACGACCGCTGACAGTGATAGCAGAGGCAGGTGCTTTTATTTTTGGTGGAGCATCAGTAGCCTTTTTTATTGCTAGTCTTATACGTGAACAAATGATGCATTTACCTGGTTATTTAGCTATACTTATTGGTGGTGGTTTATTGGCTAGATCGTGTTTATCTTTAATACCAGATGAGAATATGGTTTATTGTCCGCGTAGTTTATTAGTGTCAACATTAATGCGTATTCATTATATGCCAGATCATTGGAAAGAACAAGCTGGTACATATCAAGTTCGATCAGAATTTTCACAATTATTTCAATATCGTATGATTGGTTTATTGGAAGAATTGTTATCGCCTATTATTACGCCGCTAATCCTTATTTTTATTCTACCTAAGCATACACTTGAAATTGTTGACTTTTTAAGAAATTATACTGTTGAAGTTCCAGGTGTTGGAGATGTTTGTAGCTTTGCACAATTGGATATACGACGTCATGGTGATCCTATGTGGCATCCAAATGCAGATAGTGGTAGTGATGATCAAAGTGGAACTGATAATGATGAACATGAGCATACAACAAGTGGTGAAATTCATCCTTATTCAAAGAAGGCTGCTGCTGTTAAACATGCTAAATGGCCGTCAAAGACAACTCCTACGCATGATCAGTCTAATGTTACAACTGTTGGCAGAACTAGTGAAGATACTATAGAGGCGAATTGTACTAGTTCAATTCATCAGAGCGCTGCTGGTGGTAAAATTGAACTCAGTCTTATGCACTTTCATCTTACTAATCCATCTTGGCGACTTCCACCAGATGGTCTAGCCTATCTAAAGTCGGTTAGGAATCAGGCTTTATTAGACCTACAACAACAGCAACAACAACAGTTAGCTCAATTCCAGGATAGCTATAAAAATGATACTCAAGTTGATAAGATAACTTCACAACCAGCACAGGGAATGTTTTCAACTCTTTATGGTGGGCCACAAACTAGTCAGATGACTAGTATTTATCAGAGTACTCATCCACAACTGCCTAATACATGCGTAGAAAGTTCACTTGGTCTAAAGAATGTTTCTCATTTACCAGGTTCTGGATTACGTTCAGAAAACACATATGGTGTTGTAGGAGCTATGGTTGATTCAATGAGAAGTTCAGGCTCTCAATCAATGCATCGTTCAGATCCTAATGTTTGTGAAACTCAAACCACAGAACCTGGTATACGAAGAATTTCTCATGGTGATAGTAGTGCACACAAGTTACCAGGTAGCAGTGCTACAAAACTTGCTTCGGAGACTAAGGCAGCACTACCTAAACCCAACTCAGAAATGACTGGATCCCAGCTTAATCCTGCTGCATTTAACTACTCAATGCTTGATGGACCTACTCCCATAACAATGAGTTTAATGGCAGCATCTGCCTTACATTCTGCTGATACCTTAGGTCTTCCATTTTATCAACCTTATAATTCACAGATTGAAGATGGTTCAAGTCAACATATGGGTTTCAATAACAGTCTTATTGGAAGTGTACGAGGACGTCGCTGTGCCATAACTGAAATGTTAACAGCAGATATGTCAGTTAGTGCTCTTTACATCCATGAACTTTTCCATAGAAGAAGACAACAACGACAGAATCATGGATCTAGTCGGGATATAGCTCACAGCGCGGTATGACAGGTAGCACTCCTGGTGTCGGTGCTGGAGATGATGTTGTGGCTTTTCATTCTACACAATCCTCTGTGCCACCAGGTGTAGGTGTTTTCACCACATCTGGATATCTACCCTCGTATCAGTTGCCGCATACTTCTTTTGCACCGATTCCATCTGCTAGTAATTTAAGTCCTCTATCAGGGATAAGAAATAATAATAATATAGAACGTGGTGGATATACAACAAATACAATGGCTAATGAACAACCCGGTATCATTCGAACTCCTTCAGATGGACGAAGAATTCCTTCAGCTCATTTTAGTGATGTAACCGAAGAAGATGATGAAAATGTTGGCACACCAAGACAACTTAGAGATATCAATTATCCTATTTATGTATCAGGTAATGAATCGCATATAATGCGTCATCCAAGTGGGCAGACAACTACAGGTGGGAGTGGTGGTAGTGGCGGCGGCGGTATCATTACTCTATCTGGCAGTCCATCAGTACGCCCACAGCATGGTATCACTTATCAGAATATACAACAAACCAGCGATCCAAATCTAGGTACAGTTCCAAATATTGACAGTGATCCTGTATGGCCTGACTTGCCTCCAACTAACTGTTAATATTATTTCCCCCTACTCAGTTATAGTATAGATTGAAATATCAGAAAATATTTTAGAACTCAGTTATATGAATTATTCATTGATGTGCGTGAGTGTATGTGTGTGTGTGTTTTAACTGTTTATTTTGTTTATACATAATATGCGTGCGTGTGCGTGTATGTGTCTGCTTATAAACGCTAATAAACTGCCTTCACATCACCTAAAATCTATTTATTTTATGTAATTACTTCACACCGTGTAATCATCCCATTGCATTCAAAAGTGCGTACAGCTCAGAGACAGTCTGTCTTGTTTGATATGAATTAAACTTCAGATTTCTTCTCTTTTTGCTTCTCCAACTTTACATCTCTATTCCAGAAAAATACTTTTATATACATCATGATGACAAATTTTCCATGTGGTGTAATCATGATGTTTCTGTTTGTTGCCTCTTTGTTTTTTCGGTATATTTTCCTTTTGCAATACAAAACTGTGGTGGTCATTTTTTTTGCGTGATTGCTTTTCATCACATCATTTCAGAGTTTTTCCCCTTCAATTCTTATCACAGTTATACAACCTTCATATATTTATAGAACATATGCATGCATGAAATAATTTGTGATCTACTTACTGTAAATACTGTTTCTCAATTTCCTCGATTGCTATTTTAGTTCCATGCAAATATACTTGATCTTTCTTTCTCAATTAAATACTATTTTTCATTGTTTCTTTATGAAGTGATCATTCGTTTTAGTTGTAGTATTAGCAGTGGAAGTGGTCAACTTTATTTAGGCAAGACTAAATTATAAGTTACCTGAGACAGGTTTTTTGATGCCCTGGGATACTATTACCTACTATTGGGCTCCATTTCGTCCTGTTCTCTGTATCCTGACTCCACGGTTGCCCATAGGCTCTCATCTCCTCCTCCATACCACCTTCGGACGCCCAACTCGCCATATTTCATATTCGAGTTCCACTTGAGCGATGACGTAACACCCTAATGTCACCCAACAGTCTCTTCAGCGTGTGTCTGATCCACCTTCACTTCCTTCGGGCATATTTGTTGAGCAATAGGTTGTTCGGGTTGGTTCGTTCCCAGAGTTTGTTACTGTCAATTCTTCTCGATAAACCATCTGATCTTCAGTATGGAGGCAGCTGTTGGTGGGAATACTTTTCGCGACGCGTGCGCCACATAGAAGAAGAAGTGACTGACTTAACATTGGTGTTTTGAGAATTCGAGTTTTGTTGTTGTTTATGCTGATCGAGTGCAAAAGATTCCCATACTGATTTCAGAATGAGTGATGAAAGTCAAACTTGTCCTTCCGATCCCTGCTGGTTTTGACATCATCATTTGTTCAGCGTGTATTTGATGAAACTATGCTTCCTTGTGATAAGTGAAGGAAGTGACGTCTTTCAAATTTCTCCCGTTGGTAGCGATTGGCGCTTGTTGTTAGTTGGTTGGCTATCTTCATCTTCACTTGAAGCCCTGCTGCAGCTTCTTCCAACGTGTTTGTTTTGGGCTTGTATGTTTTCGAATTTATGTGATATAGGCCATACTTATGGTGTGAAGCTGGACTCACGCTGAAGAAACCACTGAGTGACATCACACGCCAGACCATCACTTGAATGGAATTCAAGTGGGAAGCGATGAGTTGGGCGTAGGTCCGAGGGTGACATGGAAAACACTAAAGCTTAAAGAGATTGCTAAGAACAGGATGAAGTGGAGATGTACTGTTGAAGTCTTATTGTTTGCTCCACTCGGAACTCAAGGGAATAATAATAAATTGTGCGTAGGTTGATGATACCAACCAAGTTGACCAGGTTGGGGCTGGAGTGAATGACGCCAGATGCGTACCTGGTACCTATTGTCTAAAACTCGAGTTTTTAAGCTAACGGGTCACACCACCAGTGGGACTGAATTGGAAGAAACTTTGCGATGGTAGTACATACTGGTCAACGCTTTTAATACTGGTAATAATAATTTCTTTAAAAGGGTTATCGAAATGAAATAGACAAGAAAACAAAAGGGATTAAAAGGACATGAGATAATGTTGCCTTTCTTACCGTATACATGGAATACAATGTCATTCAATAGATTGCCTAATGAGTACTGTTCAGATCAAGTTGATCGCTTAAACATTGCATTCTTGTTTTCTCAGTGGTTCTATCGTAGAAGATTCACTAGTCATGCATGTGTTCTGGGTTCGATTCCCCACCAAGTCATTCTTAAGTCTTGACTAGCCGGTAGTAAGCACGGAAAAATTTAAAACTTGAAGCCATATGTCCCACTAGAAACGCCATTTTAAAACGTCTCATCCTAATATTTATTATCTCGGTTAACACACAGATTCTAATACGTAAAATCTATGATCACTGTTTCACTAACTTTATCTTCTACCGTATATATGGTTGTGAAACTTGATAGCCTACTTATAAACGCAACTTCACAGCGACTTTTTATCATAGAGGGAGGATCTCCCAGTGGTCCGCCAATTGAGAACTAATAAAAAAAGGAGAAGTGTTAGAACGAATAAGCTTCTTTGTTAGTCGTGAAGTCATGACTTATGCATATGCACTGAAGTGGTAACCTTCCTTGTTGGACAGTTTTGATTCATTTGTTTATGGCTTAATTTTCTGAGGTCAGACAACCAATCAGATTCGTCTGTTTATGGTGAATATAGCATACCATGTATTCTGTCTAATAAAAGTTGCTGTGGTCGTTGTCTGACATTTGGAAATTCAATTCATAAATAAATAAAAGGTCGCAGGATTTCATCATGAGCTGACATTAGTTAGAGAACCGTTGGAAACCAGTAGGGAGTACTGGACAGCTGTTTCGCCGTAGTTTGGAACTCTTCACAGTACGCACCCACTGCCAGGGTTCGAAGCCAGGACCTTCTGGTTACAAGGCTAACTCGTAGACCATTGAGTCATTGGGATCCGATCCACTGACTAGCTCATGAATTCTAACTTCTGCCAACATAGCGCGACCACTAGCCAATGTCTTCGGCAAGTATTCGTCCTCACGCCCTACTAGTCACGACTTCTCACTAGAACCCAAGGTAACTAACTACCGACCTGCAGCAGGTTGGGGACAAATACTTGCCGAAGACATTGGTTAGCGGTCGCTCTATGTCGTGAATTGGCGGGTGCTCGAATTCATGGGCCATTGGATCAGGTCCCAGTGGCTTAATGGTCTACGAACTCGCTAGCCTTGTAACCAGAAGGTCCTGGGTTCGAACCACGGTGGGTGCGTACTGATGAAGAGTCCCAAACTAGGATGAAACAGCTATCCAGTATTCTCAGGTTTTCCAGTGGTTCTCTAACCAATGTCAGCTCATGATGAAATCCTGTAACCAATCGAATCCCTACAAACTAACACTCACATAAGTGATCAGTTGGTCAAAGTGTCGCGTTCTGGAGGCGCATTTTAGTCAACCCAGACGAACCCCACAACTCAATAACACTTTGTCATAACACATTTTCGCATATAATTTATAAACAATCAAAAGAAAATATGGAATAGTAATAGAAATCATTGAAATTACAAATAAATTGATAACAAAGTCATTCTTTTCAAATATCAATGGTTATTTCGATTCCCCTTCCTTTCAGTAACTAGTAGGAACTGGTTGTTTGTTCGTTTGTTTTTATCATATTCAAAGAACTATGCTTAGTGGTCAAACATTGACTATGGTTCTCCAATTATTAAAATAGAAATTTTGTAATAAAGTGACTTATTGCGTAGTCGAAGTTACTGGCAGTCTTTGTTGTAACTTTTTCCATGCCTTTTCAACTTGATATTGTGAACATTCTGGTTCCCATTGTGTGCTTAAAATTACATGTGCATAGTCTAGCGGACTTTTTGTACAACAATACTGACCTGCTTCAAACCATGTATAACCACCGGTTATTTCAGCAATCCCAGTAGCTTGTCGTATAAGACGTTCTGATGCAGCCTCAGGCGTTAGATTGTTTCGTTCGCATAATCGACGTTGAGCTTCTGAATGAGGTAGAATAGTTAACCATACCTAGGGTGACAACAAAAAAAGATTGGAGGTTTACGGTTGAAATTGAAGGTGTTCAGAAAGAAGGCTGTTTTTAGAACAATACAATTTTAACAGATTTGTGAAATGATAAACACATCTAGAAGTTGGGCTTAATATAAATCATCAGGATATCTTCCAGCTGATTCGATTTATCCAACTGAATGTTAGTCAAAGATGGGTTCGGGTTCCATTTCAGCTGTTAAAGTCTAGACTAGTAGGAAGTAGTGCTAGAAAAAACCTAGGATATTTGACTGGAAACCTATTATTTTATTTTCTTCCTTTACGTTACGAGTGGAACATACGGCTTCAAGCTAGAGTTTCGGTAGTAGTGGTTCTCTCTTCACGTCTTTAGGAGTGTGTCGACTGGGGATTGAACCAAGTGAGTCGCCGGCGAGTATTCTACCCATGGACTACCAACGCCAACCACTTAAGACCTCCAGGAGTGGAACCCGGATCGACTGCTAGGAAGGCAGCCATGGTAACCGCTACACTGAAAAGCTAGTACTGGGAAAAATAAGGTTTCAATAGTACATCTCTACTTCTCTCCGGTCTTTCTTAGCTGCCTACTAGCTTTCATTTTCTCACACGATCTCCTCCATATCACTTTAGGATGCCCAACTCGTCGTCTCGCATTCGGATTCCACTCAAAAGCTTAGTATACAAGTATAATTAGAACGAACAATTTCCTTAAATAATTTCATCAGGCCCTCCAATCAGAAGTCGGTTGCTGTTAACATAACCTGTAGTATTGTATGTTAGCATAAGTGCATTTATGACTAAGTGTACACACTGAGAAATGAAGCGGTTATTGAAATCAATTATTTGCTTTCTGTTGAAGTTATTTTGAATTTCCTCTTGAGTGATTTTATTGGGCCAAATGCTCCGTCTCTGCTTACTATGTTTATGTGAATACTAGTACAGGAAAGTGACTGTCGTAACCTAGTGAATAGCGCTTTAGTGTTTGACATGATAGGTTTGTTGGATTCGAGTCTCAGTAGAAGGACATCATCACACATTGGGAACACAGTAACATCCATCTGAAGAGTACCAGATGGGACGAAACGCACATCTTGAATTCCACTGCTAATCACTACCACCAACCAAGTGAGATTATTCCAGTTCTGAATAATTTATAGCATCAATCATATCACTATCCAACTTTATGGATTATTATCGTAAATCGATAACTGATAATAATTACTTAAACTCTCAAAGTAGTATAGTGTACAAGCAGGGAGTAAGAAATAACTGTTTTACACTTCTGAAACTACATACACCATGAAGAATACGATTAGTAAAGGTCATGACGACCTTTCAGTAAACCTTTATGACATTTCGCATAGGTAGAAGACGAAAAACTTGGTAAAGCAATTTAATTTGTGGATGGTGGCTACCAGTGGAATCCAGGATAACGCGCATTTCGTCCTATTAGGGATTCGTCCGCTAGCTGGATGTACCTGCATTTCCCAGTGAGTTATGATGTTCCTACCGAGGCTCGAACCCAGTTTCAAAGCACAGATATCGTCGAAGCATCTGCACAAGAAGCCGCCACGTCAACCTGAGACCGAGTTCTTCGGTCTAATCAATCGATGGGAAAATCTAAAATTCAGTTAAATTGGAAAAGCAATGTTTATCTGCAATTTAGTTTCTCTATATATAGCCAAATTATGTATACCTTACCAGTAGCACACGTCACAGTATCACTTCACTACACCTAACAATTAGTTTGACAACAGAAAACTATCTATTTCATACCAAAATTAAATTTGCCTCGATAAAATGACAGTTACGAAAGGTATATATATTATTTGGCTGCTAACAATAATCCTGTGAAAGGAAGACATTAGTGTTTATACGATCTGTTAAATATGAATACTGCACACACTTATGACGTCTGATTTTAACCAAACCCTTGAATGTCAGTAAATTGACAAATTTAACTTATATATAAGAGTACTTTTCAAAAAGAAAATCAATAATATAATAATAAGTGAGGCAATACAATTAGATAAAGATGGACCACACGTGAAAAGTATTTTATTGATTCATTTTAAATTTTATTATTATTCTAATTCATAACAAAGGGTTTTGTGTTTTAATCTGTCTATTTGTTAATAAAAAAGGGAATTTTAAAACTCGCCCTTTGTAGTATGATATAATCCCGCTATTATCCACTAGGTCACGTACGACAACCACCTCTGATGCAACGGAGTATCAGTTGTTATTACCATTAAATTATTATTATTAATTGGCCCACAGCCACGCTCAACCTGCCGAACATCCAACACCTCCCTGAATGGGATATAGACACAGGTCCTCCGTCCCTAACTGAAGTTACTAAAGCTGTCACCAATCTGAAACTAGGCAAAGAAGCAGGACCTGATGGAATGACTCCAGAGGTATTTAAGTACGGTGGAAACAGTTTACTGTCTGCACTAACTGAGGTTCTAGGCACCGTCTGAAAATCAGAAGAAGTCCCATCGGGTTGGTGTAAGTCACTGATTATCCCCATATACAAGAAGGGAGACAAGTCTTCCTGTGATAATCACAGAGGGATTAGCTTGACTAATATAGTATCTAAAGTCCTAGGCTCAATAATCATGCGTAGACTAAGTGGTGCTCAGGAGGCACAAACACGAGAAAGCCAGGCAGGCTTAAGAACAGGAAGAGGGCGTATTGATCATATCTTCACCCTCCGACAGATTCTAGAACATACGAATTCCTACCGGCGTCCAACAGTCATTATATTTCTTGACCTAAAGGCGGAATTCGACTCTGTCGACCGAGAAGTTCTCTGGAGATGCTTGGCTGTAAAGGGAATTCCGAGAAAATACATTGCACTGATTAAGGCACTCTACTCGTACTCATGCAGCCAGCCAGGTGAGGGCTTACGGCGAGTTGTCATCTGAACTGATGACGACTAGCGGTGTCCGTCAAGGATGCCCATTATCCCCTTTACTATTCAACTTCATCATAGATGTACTAATGGACTTAACCCTAAGTGAATTCAGCGACTTCAGGGATTGACTTGCTACCAGGGAATAATCTCGTTGACTTAGAATATGCAGACGATATAGTCCTTCCTCCTAGGTGAAGACGCTGACAAAATGCAGAGTTTTCTGAACACCTTGATCAGGAGCAATCTACGAATGTTTGGCATGCAATTCGCTCCCGCCAAATGCAAGATGATGTTACAGGACTGGACTACACCGACTCCTTGATTAGGAATAGGAAGTGAAGTGTTAGAGCACGTTGACCGCTTCACTTATTTTGGAAGTACCATCAGCCCCAACGGGTTGATCGCTGACGAAATCTAGCACGCACACAGAAGGCTCGTTTGGTATATGCCAACTTACGCCAAATCTGGTGTAGACGAGATATCCGACTATCGACCAAAGGGCGGGTGTACTGCTCATCAGTCCGCTCCGTCCTCCTTTATGGCTAGCTGTGAAAACTGGCCATTGAGAGTGGAAGAAATGGAAAGACTGGCTAGCTGTCTTTCATCATAGGTGCTTGCGTTCTATTTCCCGTGTGAAGTGGTGCAATAGGGTGAGGAATATTGAGGTTAGGCGTCGAGTGCTAGGTAAGGAGGGAAAATCAATGAACAAGGGTGTGAAGTCACATCGACTGAGATGGTTAGGACATGTGTTATGTATGCCTAGCCATCACCTTCCTCGATGGGCAATTTTAGCTGAAATAGGGTCAGGCTGGAAAAAAGCTAGCGGAGGTCAAACCAAAACATGTCACCACTCAATGAAATCCACAACAGTTAGTTTAAGCCAGCCACGTAGGAAGGTGTAGACTTCCTGGTTGGGTTCGTCGGGACGGTAAAAACCAATGGTTAGAAACAATTGGTGGCATGGCTCAAAATCGTTCTCAGTGGCGCAGATGTATCCACTCCTTGTGACTTATGATCTCCAATGAAACTGTTTTGTTCTTCGTTATTACTCCTCCTTTGTCTCACACCTCTGTTTACTGTCTCTATTATGCTTTTCTTCTAGTTTCTTCTCTTGCTTTGTGTGCTACATGGAGGGAGTGTGGCGACTTGAACTTCGGCACATTTGTGTAAAGTTCTATGTCGAAAACAGACAGACATTAAATTATTACTTATGCACTTTCTACTATCATGCCCCCCCCCGCGACCCTCTAGTCGAAACCGAATGGGAAACCACGAGTTGACTGAGCATGCTGATAGGATCCCCACACACTGTTATAGACTGTTAATCTCGCATAAATGGTATATTATCATTTCTCACACACTTTGTTATTGACTATTACGATCAATTATTTCAAATGCTGTTAGCTGTCTATATTGTTGTAAAAATGTATAAATACCATGACTTTCTTTGTCGTAGTTGTTGTACTACAATACACAGCCACAGTCCAGTCTTTGTCTTTTGATATTTGCGTGCTTCACTGAATCGGAAGGTACCACAAGCAGATAGGCATATTAATCAGGCGCAGACAGAACAAGGCGACAATGTCCTCATTTGATTCCCTACCGTTATAACACATGCTTTCAAGGGTGATATACAGGGGAGATCATATGAGGTGGAGATAAAAGTTTATAGATATAATCGTGGAGTTAGATTTTTAAGAAAAAAGACTGAAAAGAACAGAGTGAAATGGTGACGTCCTGCTGCCAAAGCCTTATGTTCTTCCTGGAGTGGAGCCCAAAAGAATTATAATAAAAACCGGGTAAAATCATACTAATAATTAAGGGAGAGTGGAGACATCCATAATTAGTAGTGAATATATGAACACAGGTTGAGCATCATTTTGGTCCAATAAAATGGATCAAAGGGAAATTCAGAAATAACAATCTTATCTTAACACAATATTCCGATATAAACAGATTCATCCACCTGTTGCTCATATGTATAGCTACTGGAGAGAATATGTTCATTATAACATATCAAAAGATTCAATTAATTCTCCTCCCCTCCCCCCCGGGTGTCAGGACGAATACTCGCCAGCGATAACATTGGTTAGTGGTCACGCTATATCGTGAATTGGCAGAAGTTGGAATTCATGGGCTGGACATTGGATCAAGGTCCCAGTGGCTTAATGGTCTACGAGCTAGCTTGCCTTGTAACCTGAAAGTCCTGGCTTCGAACCCTGGCAGTGGGTGCGTACTGATGAAGAGTTCCAAACTAGGACGAAACAGCTGTCCAGTACTCTCTACCGATGTCAGTTCATGATGAAGTCCTGTAAACAATCAAATCCCTCTCTGCAAACCAACACTTGATTAAATAAAGCAAATAAATTTGTGAACAGTATGCAAAAACACAAAACAAAAAACAAACCTCATTGCAGATTTGATCCCAACCAGCTTGTAAAAGTACTGCAGCATCTAGGATAATAACTGGACGTTTACAATGTTGACCGTGTTTCATAGCGTTATTTTCGATTTCTTTTGTGATGGCGAGTATTTGTTTAAGTATTTCAGGCCAAACAATTGAATTCAACTCTTTTAATTTAGATGGATCAGAAAAAACTAAATTCCCCAGTAATCGTCGGTCTATTGGATAAGGTGGTTCTTGAGAAGCTATATTCTCTCGTCCAAAATGCGATAAAAGAGCCTGGTGACAAGACGTACCAGGACTATTTTTTTTTCAAAATACAAAAGCCGAAATATGAAGACAATGAGGGTACTTTTTAAAAAATTGACGACAATTTCAAACGGAAAATAACATTCGTCTATATTAAACACTTAATTAAAGCCCAATTGACCTCATAAACTAGCACCTTTATTGACTAACTTCTTATATATATATATATATAATATCTCGGTAGGTGAGACTAGTGAACACTACCACCCAGAATCATAAGCTTTAGTATTTGCTTGCTACTTAGTTTTTCCGTCTTATGGATAAGAACTATAAGTTCGTGAATCCAATCCATGAATCCATTCACGAATCCCATTCATGAATCCCCACCATCCAGAAAATTAATGAAAATAAAACACGTAATTCAACGAGGAGGCTCTTTTAGGCTGTACATTCGCATTTGTATACATTTCATTTCATGAAAGAGGGTAAGTAACAAAAGTGATGAGTTACCACAATCCTTCACGTTCCTTCATTCCTTCACGTTTCCATTGGAACACAGGGCTTCGAGGTAGAGCTTTACAGTTTCGGTATCAGTGGTGTTTATTTTTATGAGGTGGGTTGCTAGCCTCATGTCCAACCTTTCCTCTTTACCAGTATTATTACTGGCTTAGCGAGGTAAAAGAACGCGTCGGCTGGAAGTCGAACCCCGAACCACATGCGTGGCCGGCAAGCATTCTACCGATATGTCACCGATGCACTACTAGAATCACAGTTTATATTAATCATTATGCAAGAAGAGTTGAACAAGGGAGTTAGAAATACATAATAATAATAAGGTGAATAATTTAATGAATAAGTCGTTATCAGGATACACATCAAAACGAAGGAAAATATGAAGCTGTGTAAGAGTCCTAGAGAAATGCAACAATCATAAAGAGTTAGAAAAAGAAATAAACAAAACTCAAATGCGCAGAAATCAACATAGTTGTTACCATGATAGCAGAAGTGGTTGAACAGTTTTCTTATGTATACATAGTTCCAGTTTCTCTGTCTGAATGGCTAGAGCTTCAGTAATACAAAGGTGAAGAGAGCGTATCGCCTTTGGCACACTGTTCTTCATTCTTTGAATGTTTGGCATGCGATTCGCTGCCTTTGTCAAATCTAAGATGATGCTACAGGACTGGAACTACATCGACTCCTAGCTTAAAGATGGAGTGAATTGTTAGAGCGTATTGACCGCTTGACTCATTTGGGGAGTTGCATGCATCAACCCCAACGGGTTGATCGCTGACGAAATCTAGCACGCACACAGAAGGCTCGTTTGGTATATGCCAACTTACGCCAAATCTGGTGTAGACGAGATATCCGACTATCGACCAAAGGGCGGGTGTACTGCTCATCAGTCCGCTCCGTCCTCCTTTATGGCTAGCTGTGAAAACTGGCCATTGAGAGTGGAAGAAATGGAAAGACCGGCTAGCTGTCTTTCATCATAGGTGCTTGCGTTCTATTTCCCGTGCGAAGTGGTGCAATAGGGTGAGGAATATTGAGGTTAGGCTTTGGTCGAGTGCTAGGTAAGGAGGGAAATAAATGTACAAGGGTGTGAAGTCACATCGACTGAGATGGTTAGGACATGTGTTATGTATGCCTAGCCATCACCTTCCTCGATGGGCAATTTTAGCTGAAATAGGGTCAGTTTGGAAAGGAGCTTGTGATGGTGGTCAGACGAAACCATGGCTTCATCAGTCAATGAAATCCACAACAGTTAGTTCAAGCCAGCCACGTAGGGATATTTAGACTGGCTGACTGATTGGGGTCCTCGAGATAGTAAATGGCTGGAGACAATTGGTGATTTGGCTTAAAATCGTTCTCAGTGGCGCAGATGCATCCATTCTTTGTGATGTATAATATCCAGTAAGACCCTATTGTTCTTCTATATTACTATTATTTTGCCTCATATCTCTGTGTATTATCTGTCTTTACACTCTTCTCTTACTTTGTGTGCTACACGGAGTGTGGCAACTCGGACTGCAGCACATCTGTGCAAAGTTTTACATTGAAATCAATCAGTCCTTCACTTTGTAGATTATTTTGAAGGTGGCGTTTGTTGAGATGGAATGACCAGTGTTGGCGAGATGTTCGATCACCCCACTTCTAACAGAGCCACTACTGCCTTTATGCAACCATGCGGGATAGTGTTCTTGAACCCTTTTACACGGGATATGTATCGAACGACCAATTTACCTGGCTTCACAGGAACAGATGAACTGATATATGCACATAGAAGTGGTTATCCTCAAGGCTTCTGTAGACCAGTGGACAACTGGAGAACACTATTCCTAGCATTTCTGAGAGGAATGTTCTTCTCAAAGATGGTCAAATCCTTCTCTTAAGGATGCCACAGGTTAAGTCTCCCATGAAATACGAGTCTGTGTAAAGTTTCCTTCTTGGCACCATTAGTGTTTCTCTCCTTTGAACTTTTGGTTTGATACTCTTGTCAATGAATCACGATGGGGATTCATTTTGCATCAAGATTTCTTTCAGAAGATCTAATTCTGCTTCTACGACATCAGGACTACAGATGCGTCAGACCCGAGTGACAAGGGATTCAAATAAATTTCGTTTTCGTTCAACAGACACACAACATTCAAAGGCTATGATCACCGCCAAACAATCCTTTATTGACTAAATTTTTATATAACCTTATGATATCTTGGAGATAGATTGGCCGTACTGTGAGAAAACCATCAAGTGATATCACACACGTCAGGCCATCGCTCAAGTAGAACCCGAATGGGAAGCGGCGAGTTGGTCATCAGTGTGAGGGTGATATGGAAGAGGTCATGCGCAGGGGAGATGAAAGCATGTGGGTAGATGTGGAGCCGTCAGGTGAAAACGTTGGCAGAGATGAGATTAGTGAACGCCCGCCGCTCATAAACAGCAAAGCAAGGGCGACAAACTCTGAATAATAATAATAATAATAATAATAATAATAATAATAGTAATAATGACCATAAACATCATTGACGACTTATATTCTTTACAGTTCTAATCAATAAATAATTCCTTGTCATCAACGCGAAAAAAGTATGTTCAAGTCCGTGTTTTTGTAATTTATATGTTCGTATTGTTTAGGTTGTATGTGTAAGCAGTTGAAGAGATATCACGAAATAATAAAAGATGAGCTCTGTCTCCCTCTCATATTATCTATCCTGTTTCATTTGTTATTCTTGTTTTATTCGAGTTTATCAATAGAAAGAACTGTATTAGGCATGATTAACGTCATTATTGTATAGAAATAGATATATTCAATTAGTATCAGAGTCATTGATATTACAACCAAAGTAATCAATACGCTAGGTACCCTTTGATCATGATATATATACTGATTAGATTATACTGTGATTACTTATTAGCTATGACGAGTAGTAAGAAAGAATTTACTTTCTTTACTTTAATGAGTATATTCAATGTTTATCTGTCTGTCTGTTGGTTGGTTTGTAACTAGGATGGTAAAGATTGGTATTGTATTGACAAGGGTTGTGTGTAATATGAAAGACACCCAGAAAAATAACATGTTAATGCAGGAGCACGCAACCCTTGTCAGTTACTTACCAATCTTCACTACCCTACTTATAACTTGATTATTTATCACATTTTTTCAAGTTGTTTGTTGGTCTGTTTATTTTTTCATGTAAATACCGGAAATACTATAAAACAGGAACTTCATACAATTGTTACGTTGTATTCTCTTCAGCTGTTTATAACCTAAAACTTGGTGACTATTAATACAACTCTCCTCGAATTCACCGAAGCAACCGCTACTAAACGTTTCAAAAAGATTCACTTATTAGTCTTTCTTTACTTTAAGGACTCAACGTCTCATCTCTTTGTCTCAATTGATTGCTTGATCTTTTGCTTTCAAATATCCACCCACCCATGCCCCTCATTTTTTGCCTTCAGTTTAATTCAGTTCCTTTTGTTTCCATGACGAGTTAAACTCACCACACTGTTACTCATCATCAACTTCTCTCCTTTTGTCTTGGCTATACAACTCAATTTTCAATGTATCCGAATATGAATTTTGTATGTTTGTATTTTGTTTGAACGTTGACCTCCTTCATAGGTTATATGAGTGGAACTTCTGCAGATTGTTTATTAAAATGTGTCTCTCTTAACAAAAGGAGAATGCTTTTATCAGGAGAGCTTCGTGTGCTTTGGAAGTGTGTGCGTGATTGTTACTTCCCGGTTGCTCACACTGTGGAGGTTGATTTTTTCTTAGGGTGCCTGAAACAGAAACAGAACGAGTGTTGCGTGACCACAGAGCCCAGGGGACAACTGCTTGACTCCGGTCACACAAGGCCTGTTTGAACTAGCTTTTAGTTTTGGTTCCATGTTAATAAACTTACCGCCAGCTACGGACCACCGCAGGGTAACACGTGACGTACAATTTTCGGGGTCGACCATTTCTAATCCCTCCCTCCAGAGTGGAGAGACAGCATAGCTGGCATGCTGGCCACCTGATGGAAACACTTTATTGCTTTTACAACCCTGTTCTCCAGCAGTACGACTTTGCCCACAGACCCCCAGCATAGTGTGAAAAATGTTACACTAAGCCGGTGACTGCTTTTGGTCTAATCGTTATCCTAACAATCTGCCTGGCATAATCAACTTTTAGGTTGTAAGCAGCAGAAGAGAATCCAATGAAATAAATCATGGCCTCATATTATTCTGAATAAACATTTGTGAAAGTAACTATATTCGATGGGTAAATGATCAAATTAAATCAGAGAGAATCAAAGCACCTGTGCTCAACTGATTGTGCCGTTTTATTTTCATGATGAATCGTTTGGAAAAGCAAGACAGACATCCATTACACTGAAATTAGCCTGGAAATCTGTCTCAATCAGCGTAAGGAACAAGAGGCGGATCTTCAACATAAATATCGAATCAGTTAGTGGTTCTATACTTATGGTTCTGAGATTTAATGTGTGCATCACAAGAAGCATTTCTGATAGGACTGCTGCAGACTTTCACCAACAGCTACCTTTAACT